GTTTATTTACCTTTACGATTGGGCTTTGTCGGAAATTATAATCTCTCTCTATCCTGGATGCATTTGCGCCTTGGAATCTACAGTTGTTCATTAATTGGTGCCCCATGCGTCAAACAGAAATAAATGCACTGCGCCTTGGTGGCCTTTCCTGGTCGACAGCGCTCCTGGGGCCAGTTCTAGGCGCCCTCTCGAGCTGTGGGCGCTGCGTGGACCGCATTTCTCCAGACGGGCCCTAGGAGTCTCCTTCGCCCAAAGTATGAGATCTGCTTTGGTAACCATGCCACATCCTAAATGCTAGTCAACGTGATGTGGCCTTGGTGTAGGGAATTCCTTTGTGAAGAGAACAAACTATCCCTTCCGAGGAGTGGATCTGGTTTGGGGGGCACAGAACCACGCTGGGCTCGCAGTCTGGTGTGGACAGGGGCATACTCGTGTGGCACCCTTGCCCCTTCCTGTGCCCTAGGATGGGGCTGGGGACAGGGCAGCTGAGAGCCCACAGCACCTGTTCTAAATAGCAAGTGAGGTTGTTTGACTCCTTCCTCTTAACTGGACAGACAGGTGTGGTGAGGTGTTAGCTTTCTTTAGAAAGCACTTTTTGGTTTTCTCAATGATGCTTATTATGAACGGTTCTCAAATATGACTAAAGGACAAATAGCACTGTTGATGTATTTCCCAGTATCAAGCCTGTCCTGGGAGAGTCAGGGACTGAATTCTGGAGCCCAGCTCTTAACCAGAGTTCCCAGGACTGGAAGTGATTGGAATGACTGTTAGATCAGGCATAGATGATTTTACAAGACACGATCTTACTTTAAAGATTATTCTGATATGATAGGGCATTCGTTGCTCTCTTTCACTTTATCACTCAACTGAAATGTTGAGCTCCCCCTGTGTGTATAAAGTTTCATAGTAGCCTTGGGGGTGGTGAGAGCAGATGAAAAGAGAATGAAAAAGAAAGAAAGATGAGGGGCCAGCCCAGCGGCAGAGTGGTTAAGTGCACCCACTCTGAGGTCTGGGGTTCGCAAGTTCGGATCCCGGTCGAGCACGGATGCACCACTTATGAAGCCATGCTGTGGCAGCGTCCCATATAAAGTAGAGGAAGATGGGCATGGATGTTAGTCCAGGGTCCCATATAAAGTAGAGGAAGATGGGCATGGATGTTAGCCCAGGGCCGATCTTCCCCAGCAAAAAGAGGAGGATTGGCAATGAATGTTAGCTCAGGGCTGATCTTCCTCACAGAAAAAAAAAAGAAAGAAGGGAAGGAAGGAAGGAAAGAGAGAAAGGGAGAGGGAGAAGGAGAGAGGGAGAGAGAGAAAGAGAAAGAAAGAAAGATGGCATTTGTTCTTAAGGATTCCATACTCTAGCTGAGAAATTAAGAGACAAAAATAATTGATACGGTACTATAAGTGTAACCACGGGCCCTCCAGGACCAGTTCAACTGACCCCATCTCTTATCAACAGCGTGATTAAGAATTATCTGTCAGAAAATTTGCAAAGCCACATAGCCAGAGCATGAGCAGAAGATATCTTGACCCAAAATGATCACAGACTCAAAGATCCTCCTCCCCATGGGACCCAAGGACCAGGACACAACTGGAACTTAAAAGTCAGACTCTTATCAGAAGTGACGGGTCCCTCATTCAGGAAGATCTGGTATTAAAACTCCTTCCCCAACTCATCATAAATGTTGAGAACCCTACCATAAATGTTTAGAAGCCCACCAATCAAAACCTGTCCCCCCAGTGTTTGTGTGTGCCAGCCTTTTCTCCCAAACCTCTTAAATTTTGCCCCAAATCCTAAATTGGGGAGACAGATCTGAGGGCACACGCTCCCTGTCTCCCTGCAGATTGATCTGGCAGAATAAAGTTGATCTCTTTTCCCAAAGGCTGATGCCATAATTAATTGGCTTTTTATGCACATTGAGCAGAGAACCCCATTTTTCCTTTTTTGAGGAAGATTAGCCCTGAGCTAACATCTGTCGCCAATCCTCCTCTTTTTTGCTGAGGAAGACTGGCCCTGGGCTAACATCTGTGCCCATCTTCCTCTACTTTATATGGGACACCACCACAGCATGGCCTGACAAGCAATGCGCTGGTGCGCGCCCGGGATCTGAACCTGTGAACCCCGGGCCACAAAGCGGAGCACATGCACTTAACCGCTATGCCACCGGGCCACCCCCAAGAACCCCATTTTTGTGCGGTAACATAATCAACGCTAACTGGTCCAAAGTCATCAGTCCCAAAGAGAGTGTTTCTGATTCCCATGGCAAGGGATAACTTCCCAGAGGAGGTGAAATTTAGGCTAGCCTTGAAGGATAGACAGTATTGTAATGCAGGGAAAATTAGCAAAAACACTCAAAGAAAGCACAAGGTATCTGAAAAATGAAAGTAGACTCTTTGGGCTAGAACAGGTCTATGGATGGAAGCTGTGGGGGACAAGGTTGAAAAGGTAGGTTGGACCATGTTGTGAAGGATCCTGAAAATCAAAGCTAACGAGTTATTTCATCCCAACAGCAGTGGGAAGCTGCTGAAGTTGAGTAAACCTTCAGATTTTACCCTCATGGAACACTCACAGAGGTCCGTGAGATTAACATACCATCTCTTAAAGTAAAAGGAAACATTCCTCAAGAACCTTAATTCCTTGGCATTTAACATACTAAAGAGTCAGTTTGGTTATCATCACAAGCCCAGTTTTTTAATCCTGGCTCTTGCTACTGGTTCACTGGTGATGGGAAAGATACCTTCTCCAGGCCGCAATTTCCTCAGGTGTAAAATTAAGGGTCAATCAAGGTTATTTCTCAAGTTCCGTCCAGCTCTAAAATCAATTATTCTCATTCTCCTGCTTGACTTTCTCCATAACAGTGAGAAAAGAAGAAAAACCTGTTACTAACCCATTTAATGATATTGAAAATCATAGTTTTAATTATTTAAATTTGCAGATTTGTTCTAATCCTATCTGCATCCCAAAGTAGAAATTTGCACCCTGGAGAAGAAGTCACACATGGTTTATTCACTGAAGCTTTGTTATAAAATGTATCTATGGAGAACACATGATTGCACTTTTTTGACTACTGGACTATCAAATAAGAATTATTTTTCAACATCACAGATGCAAAATTTTAAAACAAAATACAATAAATTATAGCAAAATACTTTAAAAAAAAATTTTTGTGTGTGAGGAAGATCAGCCCTGAGCTAACATCCACGCCAATCCTCCTCTTTTTGCTGAGGAAGCCTGGCCCTGGGCTAACATCCGTGCCCATCTTCCTCCACTTTATATAGGACGCCGCCACAGCATGGCCTGACAAGCGGTGCGTCGGTGCGCACCAAGGATCCGGACCCGGGCCGCCAGTAGCAGAGCGTGTGTACCTAACCGCTAAGCCATGGGGCCGGCCCCTGCAAAATACTTTTTAAAAATGTACTCTTGAATATGTTACAGTGGATAACACGCTGGTTTGATCTTTGTTTTTAGGCTGTACAGGAAATGCCAATAGTAAACGTGTCACTTAAATTCATTTTCAAAAGAAACGGCATCCATTAAAGGACAAGTTCTTTTCTTTCCTCTTTGAATTGGCAACATGAAAAAAATTTAAGAGCTTTTCTAAAAGCAGAAGCAAACAGCTCACGGAAACAGAAGTACCCATGCGGATGTCTTGCAACCATTCCCTCCTTGTCTCGAGGGCAGTGAGGAGGAAACCTTGGTTCTAACTTCTGCTCCACCTCACCAGCTCCCTCAGGGCAGACACCATTGATCTGGTTTTACTCTTCCTTTGAAATACTTATCCTAATTATGGTCGTTTTATTTTATTGTCTTTCCCCTACTTGAGTGCTGGGACTCTGTATTCACAGCTCTAACTCCGTATCTGGCACACGTAACTCAATATTCATTGAATAAATGAATTTTTTATTTATCTGTAAACTGAGGCAGTTGGACTAAATTTTCCATGTCCTTTCTCTCTTTATGCTTCTATGATATACATGAATTTACTTTGAATTATCTAAGTCCAGACAGTTGAATTTTTTCTCTTCGGCTTAATTTCTAGCCTTTTATTGCTCATTAGTACTCTTTCCAAATTAGGACATTTTTGTCCTGGTTCAACTTGAAGAGAAAGCAGTACCAGCCGCTACAGTGGGCTAAGTTCACACAGGAAAGCGTGCTCTGAGGGGTTACAGACAATCTGCAGCCAAACCCAACTCCTACCTCTTTAAGTTGTGGTTTACCTCTAAAACAATAAGTAAAAAACCAACTAAAAAGGTAGGTAAAGGCAAATCAAACTTCAGAACCATTTCTAAGTGGAAAATTTGATGATGTTCTAAATCTTACAGATGCTAAAGCACAATAAACTTGTTGAGGAGCCCCCCCCAAGAACATACTCTGGTGCTGCATGGCCGTCCTTGGTGCCAACCAACCTCCAGTGACCCCAGGGAGAGGAGCAAGGGCCCGCAGGTGAGTCTACACAGGTCTTTCATGTAAGTCAAAGCCCAACAAGTCCAACATCAGGCATTCCGTTACAATGAACATCTTTACTTGTTTTGGAAGCCCACTCTATTTTGAGCAACATTATATACAACCCAAAAGATACAATGAAATCATTGACAACTCCGTGAAATGTTATAGCTAAATTACAAAGAGTAATCGGATAAATCGGATAATGTAGACAACCCCAATCAAGTATTTCTTCTCATACCGTGCTCAACATTAGATGACACATAAAATTCAGCTGGGAAACGGAGACCAGAAGAACTGTGCTTCTTCTTGACCCAGACTCGGATAACGAGATCAGGGTACAGCCTAGGTGGGAAAGTATTTAATTCATTGTGCTTTTTATGTATTTTTCTTGCTACCTAGTCCCAGTTTTAACGTTAAATCTGTGCCTCTGGGAAGTATTTCTTTTAACTCAAGTACAACATACTACTACACATTCTTTAAAATCGTTTTCTATTAACTATAAAAAGCACTCTCAGATAAGAACTCTGTAAAATCATTTCCTTTTAGAAGGCATCAAATATTCACGGAACTTTATTTTTAAAGGATAAATCAAATAAGACATAGCTTTCATTGTCCCAAACATGCATAATCCATCCTTAATATAAAATGCACTCAACTGGTAAATCACACATGAAATAAAAAGGGAATGCAACTTTACATATGTAGAATGATGGCCAGCTACAGCAATTTAACAGTCAAATTAATACACTGTGTATTAAAAAAAAAAAACCCAACATCTTAAAGCCAATTATAGTAAACCAAGGGAAATTCTGCCATGGAATGGTTTGACTCAACGCAAAGAATAAGGCACCTGCTATGAATTTACAGTAACTTTCATTTTTAAAGTTACAATAATATAGAATGTTAACTAAGACACTTGTTTCAAAGAGGGAAACAAGCACAAGGGTTGATTTCCTGGGTGAGAAAGGCAGGTAACAATGCAGATACTGGCCCAAGGTCAGCTGACTCCTTTTCTATTCCAGAGTAGTCCAGTTCCTCAACATCCTTAACAGCTCCTCTCCCTCACTCCCCACACTCCGGGGTATCAGAGGCTCTCTCTGAGGTTCACACCCTGTGTAGACTAGGTAGCACATTTCCCTTCTGTTCCTCTTAAAATAGCTTATTTTAAAAGAGATATCCTGAGGCAATTAACAAAGCAAACAAGCAGCTTTCTTTCCAATTCATTAATACATAGCCACCTCTCAGGCTTTTTTCATCACGATATGGCTAAGGATTTAAATGGCCGATGCTTGCAATTTTCAATAGTACCAGAAAACCCAAAACCTGCCTTATTACTCACCCTTACCATTAGTAAAAAGAAAGTTTGATCAATCATAACCTACAAAATCAAACAAAGGGAAGACTAAAGACTGACCCTTATCAGTAAATCCATTCAATTCCAGATGAGTCTGATCTACCTAGTACCCTAACAGAATTCTAATCATAAATCTAGAAAAAGCATTTCCAAACTAAGTCTCACTTTTTAGTAGATGTGCCCTTTTTTGGTATTAAAAGTGCTGTTAACATGCTAACGTGTCTTATGGCACACTGGACTCAACAGTATGTCCTGACGAGGCATCCATTTTTAGTAGTATTTTCCCCTAAAATGTTGTCTAGCATAGTAGATCCCTCCTTGATATATTAAAGTAATTCTGGTGAAATCAATGGTGACATAAGCAAAGCTTCCCTGACTCAACTCCACCACGGTAGCTTTCAGCGACACTGAAGCGACTGATGAAGTTACAAAACGCTAAACCAAGCTGTTTTCTTATGGCATCTTAGGTTAGTATATTCCCTCATGCAAAATCCAAGGTAGTGTCATAGAAATAATATCATTAAAATAGATGTTGTAGCTATAAGCATCTCTCTTTAGGCATTTAGAAGCTTTTAAAAATTTTTAGGTGCTCAACATTGTGGGAAAACTAGGCTAACTGTGTAGTTGTTCCATTTATAAGCACTTTATTACAGGACAGTTACATGACCCTATATGGGAGTGTGCTTTCAATTCAAGATATAGTAATAAAGTGCCTAACTATATAAAAACCCTAAGATACCGAATTTTAAATTAAACTAATTGCATCTACACATTAGAGTTAACAAAATCTAGACCCTGTCTACACAGATTTAATCTAATTATCTACATTGTATACTGTTTTAATAACCACATTAAAAAAAACTTACTTTTTACTGACTGAATAAGTAGGGTCCACTACTGTAGCTTAACAATCACATTTTATTGCTTTATTCATGTGGTGCTTTTGCAAGGCACTGTGGTATGGACTAGAAAACTTGGAATGACTCGTGAAGAAACCTTGGAATGACACATGAAGGATGGTATGAAAAGTCATTCTGAGGCAGGATGCTTTACTGAATTGTTTTTTAACCAGGGTATCAAACATCAGGAATGAGTTCAAGTTAAAATTCACAGGAGAATGGAAAGGCCTTTAGGTCAGTAACTTCACATGCCCATCCTGTTACTTTGAATAATCTGGAAAATTGCTGTAAAGAGAAAGAGCAAATATTAAAACATGCTTTGAATAAAATAGGTCTTGCAACTGACAAATATTTATTAAGGTACTTCAAGAATCCAAAAGTACCCTTACGATTACTGGCAAATGATATGTATTTTCATTGTAGTAAGGAGTGAAAACAGGCCTGCCTGCCTTAATAAAACAATTAAACGTCTGCAAGTTATTTTTTTTAAATCTCAGCTTCTCTGAATTTTGTCTACCTGTCCAAGAGAGTTGGCAAATAAGCCATCATTTTAGAAAGAACTTAAAGCATCCAAGCAAACGGGTTTTTCTAGCATAGAATTATTTTGGTTTATCCCTAAATATTAAATGTCCTTTGAAGGCCTGGCCTATAACGTACACTTGTTTCCTCATTCTCACAAAGCTGAAATTCAGTAATCTTTAGGTTATATAAATTGCTTGGCTCTTGGCCATTTATCAGGAAAGCTTCCAATTGGTAAGTTTAGGAGACAGGCAACATGGACTTCAATATCAACAACGTGCATATTAAGATAATAAAGGAAGAGGAAAGACATCTTGTAATCCATTTGCAGAGACAAGAGTCTATTACTCTAACAGCAAGCTGCCCTGATAACTAATTTTTCCTACCATATGTCAAACGTTTCTTTTATTAATCTAAAAACATTTGTCTCACACATTAAATTGCCAATCAGGTACGTTTCCTCTAGAATGAATCAATTCTTTGCACTAGCTTTAGTCTATAAATATACCCAATTTTGACATAAAGACGTTAGATTCTGTGACATGTAAAATTAAATTCAAACATCCATATGTGCACGATATCCATAAGCCTCTTTTCTGCAAAGGCATTGATAGTGGGGGTTGCAAAGCATTCCAAATTCTCATTCCATGAGGTATTTTTGTTTTGGTCTAAATGTCTTCCAACTCGACCATTCCTAAGGCCCTGACCTCCTTTTCTGATCTCCTGTGAGCACAAATCAAGCTGGGAGAAGTTTCTGGAGCACTGCCCTCTTGTACATATGTGGGACAAGTAATTTGGTTCAGACGGAACAGAATTATGTGGAGCTCCCGGCAGGTGGGTTGAGAACTCCGCGGGGAGGATTCACCACTGATGGGTCACCACGTCATCCCAACCCGTCACCCAACACCCTACCGGCGGGCAGCCCCCAAAACACTTACCAGAACCACAAACAACAAAAATGAAGAGAGCCAATAACCAGGGTCCTACATACGCCTTCTCTTCGGGAGCATTTCTCTGCAAAAGGGAAAACCCGCAGTTTCAAATGCAAAACACCGCTGGGCCCCCGGGCTCCCGCCGCCGCCCCCGGGCCGGGTCGCCGGGTGCCCTCCCCTGCAGGTCTGCCCGCCCCTCCCGAGCCCCAGCGAGCGGCCGGCTCGCAGCCCGGGCCCCGGGTCGGCCGCTCCGGGAGCAGAGGGACGCGGCCCCGGCCCGGCCTGGGCGCCGCGGAGCGCGCGCCGCTCACCGAGGTCTTGGCGACGTTGCCGCGCTGGGTGATGTTCTTGCTGTGCTTCTCGTTGGCCATCCGGATCCGCTGCTTGGCGACCATCTTCGCGGCGCCGCGCCCGCCCGGCAGCCGGACTCCTCGCGCTCGCCCCGCTCGGCC